CTCTTCACGTACACGCGATGTAGAAGACGGCGTACTGCTTCTCAACGTGATTTATTTGTAACAACATGGCATATAATAAAAAGGAAGTCTCCAAAAAGTGTACTGAAAATGGCAAATCTGTTTATGCAAATGACGGCTAAGAGTATGACAAATCCTCCAATATGAAAGATTATACTATCAAAGTTATGATTTATATTTCAATTATTTCCCCCAACAAGATCTATACGTATACCGCTTCTTACACGAAGATGCCATTAAACTCCAATCATGTAAATTTCATGTCTGATTAATGTTACTAATAAGCTGGGCGGTAGCTCCGAGAAGACGATGAACAAAATTATCGCATTACACTCAGAAATTTATCTCTCGCGTTGGGAAATGATAAGACCAGCGATACCTCTTGCCGACTTAACTAAGGATTAATGATAGCGGCTAAGATATTATAGATTTCAAACGTAACGTTAGTGGAATAAAGCGTTTTTAAAACAAGGCTTCTTTCTAAACAACAGCGACAAATTTACATTCATAATGAACAACTGGAGTGAGGCAGTGATAATAGAAAAATGGCCAAATACCAGAAATCCCTTTTCAAAAAAGTAACTGTGCTGCATCTTCCTCAGATTTTCGTTTACAAATTATTACTCTTGCTACTTAGGTTAATTTCAAAGCACTAGAAAGTGGGATAATTTGTAAATCTGTTTAACTGATAATCAGTGTATTATAACTATAATTTATCTCTTAAAAATTTTACCAACTCAGTCTGGTGTCAAAGTGTGAATAAAGAACATCCTAATATCAAAATCAGACTAATAAATTTCCCCAAATTTTCTTCTTTTCATATCGTGAAAGAAGTGTCTGAACCATCATAGCCATTACTCATAATCGTTCACACCTGCTCCTTTCAATTCTATAAATGCGCCAAAAGTTCATAATTTTAGTCCAATTTACTGTAGGTGTGAAAAAAGCAATAAATGCTGCCATTGGATTTCCACTATAAGAAGAAAATAAATAATAAAGTCCATAGTTACACAACATGTGGGAATAACAATACGTTGTGGCAAATGGAAAACTACGGTTGCATGCAAGCCTCTTTTTTCAGAGATTCTTGTATTAGTAGTTAAACATACATAGCGTACAAAACGCTGTTACTTTCTCCCGGTTTAATCAAAAGAAACTGATAAATGCCCTTTGAAAACCAAAGCTTTTGACGCTGAATATACAGTTGTTCAACAACTGGCACGAGTATTACATCCAGTAAACATATTGCAGTACAGCATTCTATATGAATTACAAATTCATAAATTCTGTTGTTATCAATTAATGGCGTCGAGTGCTGCTTCGATGAAAAATTCATTTTTGAAGAGCACGTTTCATCCTTTGTTGAAACATTGATCAGTTTGAAATTCTGGCTCATCTGAGCATAAAATCGCATGTTTGTTGGCCTGCTCTGTCAATAGCAGTGACATGATTAACACTAGCATTCCAGAGGAAGTCCCGTACAAAAGAAACTGAAAGTTCAATATTATTATACCAACAATGAATTTAAACCCATCTCTAGGGATATGTGCTTTTCAAATTCGGTTCATGTTACGCACCGAGAAGTAGTCTTCTCATGTTTTTCAAGCCACATACCAGACATAAAGATGCTATTAAACCCACCAGCTGAGGTTTAAAACAGTTTATCGCTTGACATTTCAATTTTGGATTATTTTTATTGTAGTGTGAGAAAGATTCTTGAAGTGTGATCCATAGTTAGGGATACAAAGCCCTGAAAGCCCTTTACATCTCAGGCATGGTATCAATTTCTTATCATATCATATTCCATTATTTGTAATAAATTCTGAAATTTGCTTTGAAATGAAAAGCTTCTGATATGAAAGAGTTTGAAAATAGCATATCTGCTTGGTGTGTCAGTTCAGCCGGGTCTGTGAACAAGGGAGCTGGGTGTTTTCATTTTGATTTAATAGAAGAACTTATCCTTAGCAAAACATTTGGTTAATTTCACATAAGCCGTCAAATTTTTCCTGTGAGTGTTGTTTTTAGAAGAAAAACACAGCCTTGTTTTTAATAATAATACAATTTAAGTTCTGCAATAATAGTTTGGTCAATTGAGTCATTTTAGAAAATAAAAGAAAGCAGCTTTCTCCTGGGAGAGAAGGACAGTACTAGGGCAATTAGTAAACCGTACCAATGTTGACCCAGCTCGTTGGTGAATGAAAACTGTTATTTCACACTCCTCTGTCTGAGAAGAAAATTAATTGCTGTGAATATAGATGCACTTTCAGCATGATATGCCTCACACTTATTAAAGCCAATCAAACCCAGAGAATGGCCACAGCCAGTTCTCTTACCATATATGGGTTTAATTAAAGCTCGGTTAATAATACCAAGTTTCCTGTTCGTCAAGACAAAGGTTAATTATCTCTAAGCACATCCACAGGTAATCCAGGCTTTCCTTTCAGTTGCACTCAAAGCCCCAGTGCCCTTGTAAATCCTTGGCTTAAGATATATACCTGAGGCTTCTAAATTTAAGTGTAAATAATTCAACTACCTGGGTAGTTTGGACGGGGTGTTTTCAGTTGGAGCCATTTATCACTCACACCATCGCCCAATTTGGACATGGTGTAAAGTTCAGAAATACATACCTCAGAAATAAACTTTGCGTTATTCAAAATATGGACAAATTCATCACTGGTTCTTTTTTTGCCTTTCTACTAAGAAATACAGGCTCACCTGTGCAAACAAAACTTGTAATTAAGAACAAGAAAGAAAGCAACTTTGTATTTGCTGGGAAGTGTGCTGCGGGTGATTTTTAGTAAGCGCAACCTCTTTTAAACCAAGCATCTAAGCAAACTTTGTGTAACATACTTCTCTAAAAAAAATTAAATCAAAAACAAATGAATTGTTCAGTACTGTATTTCAAACGACTGGTATTACACTAACAGCGCTGTCTCATTTACACCATATGAACTAAATGAAGTATGTACTGCTTTAGTACTTCACAAAAAATTAATAAATAATACATAAGGAAGGTAGACATAATTTGTTATTTGTTAACTAAAATGTTGACACTGAACAACAACAACAATAATATCTTAACAAAACACCCTTTGGTTGGAGTTTCTGTGCACAATGCGATTGCAATAATCATAATAATAATTCGTACCAGGACCACCGATTGTCTAGCTCTAGATCAAGTGATTGTTTCAAGGCTTGCTGCCTTTTTCATTTAGCATTGCACATTATATTTTACAAAGGTCCATGGGATCAACTAGATGGCAAGAATGGTCACTGGACCAGAAAATTACCTGAAGTATCATCAGACCAGAACTGATGTAAAATACAGTATAATTGAAATAAAAAACAATATGTTCTTTCAATACATATAAAAGGGATTCTACTGGAAATGTAATTGCCTGATACCCTCACAGATTGCCTGTTACAAATAAATACTAGTCTAGGACAAAGTCTGGTAAATAATATTTATCATGAACATAATAATAATAATCATTACAAATACCTTATGATAAGCCGCTCTGTCAGATACATACTAAAAATAATGGATTTCTGTCAGATAATACTTTAGTCAGTCCAATATTAAAATAGATATACCTGTAATTTAAAGCTACACAATTCCAACAGTTACTCAAGAACCAGTAATAGATTGAATTCTTTGGGTCCTTTTGAAATAATGGTGGGGTTGGTACTAAAGTAATGCAGTAGGAATGCAAGGGGTAAGGCTCCATGGTTTCTTTCTTTCCACCTTTAATTTTTAAATATCTCAGTATTGACAAATCAATCAAGAGTTTTCTCATTGCACTTAGTGTCTTATTACAAAATAATATCATCATAATTTTGCATGAGTAAACTCATGCTTTTGTCAAATATCAAATTATCATCAAACTGAGCAAATAATTTTTCTAAACTTCTGCAAAAATAAAAAATAGATCTAGTTTATAAATTATACTATTATCTAGGGGGTGAATTTTGGGATTAGTACAACAATGTCCCCTTATTTCTTACATGATGTAAAAAAGAAAAACTTTAAATTGGATGAAAAAAACACACCCAAATTTGAGCAGGCATCTCCAATTACAATCCAGCTGCAAATGCCGCTCTGCTGTTCTCTTTTTACACATACAAAAATGATCACCTTTTTACAGGTGTAAGTGTACTTAAGGAAAAAGGTCAGGAGGGATTAATACAGACATGAACTATTACTTCACGAACTAAACATCTGTTACAAAACTTCCCAGCCTCAAAAATTTGATAAAAGAAGCCCATTTAAAGACGTTCATTTTCCAATAAGATGTGTACATGGCCCACTGCCTTCCTTGATCAGCACATTATACACTTGACGAAAGTATAAAAACTCTCAGATTGGATCACTACATAGTTATATGTACCTTAGATCAATCCATCTGGTTCATATTTTTACCTGTCCACACCTGTACTCGATAAATTTAATACAACAACCCCTCTAGGATTGGAATTACTTGCTATTTGCATGAAGAATTGAGATCTGTTCTGCTTGAGAACATCTTTACTGATACTTTAGTTGCACTTCAGGGTATTGAAGAGCTTTGAAATGTAACCCCTCTGACCCCTGTGGCCTATGTCATATACACCTACCACAGGCAATCTCAGGTGTGAAACCATCAGCAGAAGGAATGGGCCATGATATCTCTCAATGGGCCAGGCAACTGAATAATTAAAAGGAGAGAACAGTTTCCGGAATGGCCATGGAATTGAAGTATTTTTAAACCAGAATTTGAGCTCTACTGCTCACAGACAGTTGAGCTTAAATGGTCAATTTTCTCCAAATTTGGTCAGATTTTGGGTCAGTCTGTTTGAACTTGGGGCAATGAACTGCGTATGCATGGAATCACATATCTACCCCTAGAGGTATCAGAGATAGAAATGTTGTGAGCAATCCCAATATATATATATTAGTACAAGACACAAATATGATTATATGTGTCTTGTACTAATATATATATATTAGTACAAGACACATATAATCATATTTTCATAACCATCAAGAAGACAATCTTTAACTGACTTGAGCAACTTAGCTGGAATTTTTTTCTAAAGGGGTTTTTCCCCAAAAAAAGCAAGTCTCCGGTCTAGTGAAATATGTTCAAATTTAGATTACACAAAATTTCAGCCTTTCTATGAAAGAAGAAAAATGTGTTTTAGACTGTAAGTGGTGAATACTGATATGGGGCTTAGGAATATCTATAAATCAGATCCTATGTAACTTTGTTACTTAGTCATCACATTGGACTTGGTTTTAAAAAAAATCCTAACAGAGAAAAAGAATATCTTGCAGAAAGCTCTGCAACAGCAAACAATGTTACAAATAAATAGCTTACTTTTACTGTACAATACCATCTAACCAAAAAACACGTCACAACAATTCACAAATATAATCTGTAATTTTACAATCTGAAAGTTTCAACTCAATTTTCAGTCTATCATTACCTATCTAAACTTGTGACCCTTTCAGCTGAATCAGACGTTTTCTGCCTCAAGAGACTTTTCAGTTAAATTAAAGAGAATAAATATGATAAATTCTACAGTTCATGAAGCAGAAAATTCTGGTCACAGCCTTGAGATAGCAAATACCTTCTCCATCAACGGCACAAATATCACAATAAGGTAGAGATACAAAAAGGTTGGGTAGAATCACCCCTGTTATGCAATGTTTATATATATATGTTAATGATTGCCAATGTGAACAAGTAGTGTCTAAATTTAATAAATAAAGAAACAGGATTGTGTACACCTGGGTTGGGTTATTTTGGTTATTGTGCCCATTACATCAGATATAAACTTGAGATTCCATAAAATTTGATTGTACATACTATCAAGAGATTTATTACACATAGGACCTGTGCCTTATCTGTCTGGACTATGTTCCACATTCATTTCCTACTGTATCTGAACAAAAAAACATACTCATAAATATTGCACAATAGTGTATAATCAACATGTAAAACATTCAGAGCTGGGACTTTCCAACATAGCTGTTGACAATTACAACTCATCTAACCTGCTACATATGAACTACATGCTATCTTATGGGGAAAAAGCCTTACACCTACTGGCAAAAATAGAAACAATCCACACAAATGACTTATCATTCCTGGTTCACTACAATGAGTTGAATATGTATGAAATATCAGATATAAAATTATACATTTTCAATCTTTAAGTTTTTGTAGCAGGTAAATAACACACAACAATTTTCAAGAACATGCAAACTTGCTCTGCAATCTTTCACATAGTAAAGATTTAGCTACAAACAAATAATCCAACTGCAAAAACCCTTAATCAGCAGCAAGCTACAGTATTTCCACTTCAAATGTAAAGCTACTTATTTGTTAATCAAACTTACAACAACTTCTTACATAACTCCACCAAGAATAACCTCATCATCCAATGGCGACATCTACCTGTTGGTTCGTTTTCAAGGTGAAGGTAGTCATCATGGATGCCATCTACTGTTCAGTTGGTTTTAAGTTAAAGGTTACAGTCAGTGGTTCTGTGATTCTGCTACTGACAGGCAGGTATACTGTTGAGGGGACAAACTGCTTGAGATCATTCTCATCCACCTGGGTCATCGTAAAGGATTGCATTACAAGGTTAGCGGCAAGGTCGCATGGAGCACCAAATGCTATAGGCTCATCGTTTGGGAAGTCAACCTCCATCTTTTCTTCTGACTTCCCTTCATCATCTCCAGAGATATGGTTTTCTTTGTTCAGGATCTGTAGCTTGGAGCTGCCAGGGAGTTTGTGTTTCATCAATCTGTGGGCAAAGAGATTGCTCTGAAACTTGGTTTTATATTCACAAAGGCTGCAGGAGAAGATCTTCATCTTAGGCAGAGGTCTCTCCAAAGCACTGCCACCATTGTGACTTTGACGCCCATGGGCAGAGCGAATGTGGGCAAAGCACATCAGCTTGCTGGGAAAGCAATCCTTACAATGGGCACAACGGAACTTCTTAGCTTTGCCACCAACATGGTTTACTGTAGGGCTGCTGGCATTGCTGTGAGCTTTATCTGGGTCTGCAACACCATTCTGGTGGTACTGCTCAAGGTGCCGAATCAAGGAGTGCTCATAGCGAAAACTTCTCAGGCACTCATTGCAGTTGTACTTCTTCATATCCTTGCTGCTCTTGTGTTTTCTTTCCTCATGGGAGTAAATATTGGACAACCAACGGGTCTTGTATTCACAATGCGAGCAGCTGTACAGTTTATGCTTCATGTTCTTGCTGTACTTTCTTTTAAGGCTAAGACCAATGGCTGATGCAAGATTGCTGCTCACTGTCGGTCTGAACTGCTTGGTTAGATTAACTGGCTCAGCAGCTGGTTGGTCTGTGGCTTTCATTGGGGTGTCCGAAGCTTGTGAGCTGAGAGAATTTTCATGCTCTCTGGTCATATGCAAATCCAGACTGGCCTTGTCAGCACACACTTCACCGCATAAATGGCAGAACTGGCGTCCCTGAGCTGCACTTTGACCATTTATGAACTGAGATTCCACCTGACTTGCTTGCATGCCATGGTCACTAACCAAGTGACTTGTAAGCCATTTTGCACTCTTGAATCTACGATCACACAGGCGACAGACCTCTTTGAAATGGCTGAAGTAGCTATCATCTGCCTTTGGAGTCCCTTGTGGTTGCTGATGTGGTGTGGGTACAGACAAGGGCAAATTGGAGGTTGGCTGCCTTAGAGCCCCTGAATTAGACACTGGGGACCCAGACCCACGGTTGCTGAGGTTTAACTGGTTGCTGAAGGTTGGCATTGTAACCTCTGACTTAGGAGTACTAAAATCTACACCAAATGATTCAGAAGTGGACTTTGGTGTTGAACTTGCACTTGATGGAGAATCTTCATAGATGCCATGTTTGTTCAGCTTGTGTGTTCGCAAGAAATACTTGTTGCACAATTCCTTGTTACATAGGTCACACATCACCCTTGGATTGACACTGGAGGGAGATTCCTTCCACCGCCAAGAGATCTGCTCTGGTATTTCATTGCCCTCAGACTTAATTTTAAAAGGGGAAACATGAACTGGTTTCAAAGCCAATGAGCTTATTGGAGACTTCTTTGTGGTTTCTGGTGGCTTCTGGACTCGGATCCCATGGATGTTTAACTTATGAGTGCGTAGAAAATACTTGCTGCAGAATTCCTTCTTGCAGATTTCACAATAGGCTTCTGGGTCAATTCCCATTTTGATAAGCTCTTCTGTTGTGTGACTAGGCCCCTGCTGCTGCTCTTCCTGCTTCTGTTGTGCTTCTTGCAATTGCTGTTGGACTTCTTGTATTTGTTTCTGCTGTGCAAGTTGTATCTGGTGTGCCTGCTCAATCTGCTTTGCCTTCTGAAGCTGCTGTGCTTCTTGAACATGGCGTGCCTCTTGTAGCTGTCTTGCCTGGTGTATCTGCTGTGCCTGCTGCGAGGCTTGCAAGTTATTCTGTTGAGAAGGAGATGGCAAAGCAGATGGCAAAAGCTGAGGTGGTTTCTGTTCAACTTTCTGTACTAGGGACGCCTGTTTACCATCAGAGGAGAAACTGTCATTGCTGTCTGTCTTGCTCTGTTCTGGAGGTTCAATGCCATGGATTTTCATGCGGTGTAATTTCAAAAAATATTTATTACATACCTCTTTGTTGCACAACTCACACATGACTCTATCTGCCATCTTGGACATGACCATGTTACTGAACATAGTATTCATTCCGGGGCCTGACTGGTTGGATTCACTCTTAGGGGTTGACTTCCCACTCGTGGAATCAGCAGGAACTGGTGTGTTCTTCCCTGAATTCTGGGCTGCAGTCTGGTGGAAAGCTAGCTCTTCATTCCTGAACTGCATGGGCAATGGTTGAGAGTGGGGGATCAGCAAAGGAACTCCTTCTGGAGTCATGATGACCTGAGGTGGTGGGATGCCATCCATTTCCTGTTTAATGGGCATGAATTGGAATCCTGGTGGCAAGGGTGTCATGGGCATAGGTGGCAAAGGGAATGGCAAGCCTGGGCCTCCTGAGGACCGTCTCACATCATCCTGGATACCATGTTTGTTTGCCTTGTGAATCTTCAAAAAGTATTTGTTACAGAATTCCTTTCTGCAGATTTCACAATAAGCATCAGCATTGAGGACCCCCATGCTTCTCAATGCATCATTGGGGACTGGGGCTGGTAGTGAAGAGGAAGTTGCCATAGTTGTGGTTGTATTTGGTTGCTGCTGATGCTGCTGCTGTTGCTGCTGCTGGGTGTTGGGTGCCAATGCTGACTGCTGCTGACTGGTAGGAGGGTTCAATACTGCTAGAGATGTAGGCTGAGAGATGGGTTGCAGGAGAGGCTGGGTAGGTATAAGACCCATAGGAGGAAGAAATGGACTGATGAACATCACATTTCCCATGCTGGTTGGTGGCATCATCATAGGTCCCAGCTGACCTATACCGCTGGTTGCTGGGTTGCTCTCATTAGGAAGGTTAATCAGATTGTTGATGCTGACAGTCTTTTGGTTTTCTGGCTTTATTCCATGGACATCCAGTTTATGTTTCTTGAGGTAGTATTTGTTGCAGAAATGCTTCTGACAAATTTCACAATAATCTTCTAAGTCTACTTGCACTTTGGTAGGTCTTTGTGGTGTTGCATTGGAGCTGCTTTCTTGGGCTGTTGGTTGATTCTGATTTGGTTGTGGAGATTTGGTCTCCTGTTCCTCCATGGTTGAGGTTGCTGCAGAGGATACAACATTGGTTTGCTCTAGCATGGTGGCAGGTGGCATTGTTCCAGGAAACACTGGGAAACTCTGGCCGGTAGGGGGATACCCAGGAGGACTGCCCTCAAATATACCATGCTTGTTAGCTTTGTGGGTTTTCAGGAAATATTTGTTACAAAACTCTCGGTCACACAGACCACAGTAAGCTTCTGGGTGGAAGATACGGTTTCCACTTCTGGCAACCTCTCCTTCCTCTGGTTGAGAAGATGTGGACATGTCTAAAGGTTGGGCATCATCTTGGCCATTCACCTGCGAGCTGGCTTCTATTACTTGGCTATCTGGTTCAACACCCTGTTCTGCTGGCTCTGCTTCACTGGGAGTGGCCATTCCCATGCCCTGTTGTAACTCATTTCCAAGACGATGGTATGCAGTTGGGAAATTTTCAGTACTTTGGTGGGCAGCATGAACATGAGATTCTAGGTCGTCTTCAGTAGTAAATGTCTCTGAGCAGTGATCACAGCCCAGAAGTTCAACTTCCATTGCTGTGTCATCCTTCCCATCATCCTTGGGAAGGTCACATGACTGAGGTAATACAGCAGTAGCTTCTTGCTCAGTGCCCTCAAGTTCTATTTGAGAGACACGAATGGGTTTTGACTGTTTGCGCCGACTGGACTTCATTTTATTGTCAGTTGTCATCTCAGTGTCGTGTGTTTGACAGTTTTCATCAATTAATAGATTCACTGAGGTCAATTTGTTGAAATTGCACAAACTGCTGGGGTTCAAGTCTTTCAGCTTTGATAAAAAAGTAGTTTCTTCATAAGCTGAAGAGTCCTTCAAGTTCTGCAGTTTTTCTACTAAAGTTCTCTCCTCAAAAGAGTATTCATCTCTCTGATGGAAGATATTAGGATGTCTAGGCATTATCTGATGGATTCAACTTTCTCAAAGCCTGACACAGCTTCACACGCCGGGTTCTTCCCTCCTTCTTTACTCAATGGCTGTGGGTTTAATATATCTGAAATGACAGAAATATTTCAATTATGTTAATTCACAACTGTCAATTCAATAAGAAGTCACCTGTAATTATCTCCACTGAGGATTGTTGTATAATTGTAAGAATTTTGAATTGTTATGGCAATCCAGGCCATACAGACGTCTAAACAAATGATACCTGGTTTCTATCTGTTGGCAAATTTCTGCTTTTGAATACTACACTAATGTGATTTATATTCTAATCTAAAGGTTCTGCTGATTTTTAATATGAAAATTGCCTTTCTTCATAGAATTTTTGCAATTTATGGGCCATTTGTATCCATCAAATTACAGACCACATTTTCAATTGTTATTCTAGCTGATATAAAATGGCCTACTGATGAAACCTGGCTTTGTCTATTTTTAAGGCAGGATCTCTATCTCATCAATACAATCATCAGTCAGTTTTAATCCCACATATGCTGCAACTAAAAGTATAATAAATCAATTCTAATATGCATTTCTGCTAAGTTGGATTATCAATTCCATTGTCAGTCTAATCCATTGAAATAAAGGATTAAAGAAAACCCGAGTACCACAAACCATTTCCTAATAAGGCTCTGCCTCATTTCTTTGCAATATGACTGTGTATATCTGATACCTGTCCCAGACTACTAAAAATTACTATTTACTTTTGCATATGTTTATCTAGCCCTGTAATCTGGGAGATATGCCAGCGTGCTATGCAGCGCATCTGTGTTCTCCAAATACCTCAAATTTGGCAAAATATAAAAATTGAGCAGATGTCTAAAGTGCACATAAATCCCCTGCACATCTGTTCCCCTCAAACTGACATCTTTCTATATAATAGTATGTATATAGAACATGTTCACGGCTCAGGTATTTGGCTGAGGCTGTAGGGGAGGGGAGTGCTGGGTTCCACTACCTGAAGATTATCCTGCAAATGATCTTGAGAAACACTAAAATAAATCAACCTAATGCCTTAAAAATCTTCAGCAATGAAAAAGACTGTTGAGGTCTGAGCTCCCATTCTCTGCCAGTCCACTTTCCAGCTTAACAATGATTGCAATATTCTCATAATCTGCCAGATGAAGCAATTCAATAGCATAACTGTTGTAATGAAGTGAAAATTGCAGTTCCTATTTCAGATTTTTATTAAAATGTCAGCCAGGATTATTGTCTCCTGTTCCTCTTCAAAATCAATACCCAAGTTATTTTACAATAGAGGTGGACAATTTTCACCTTACAACTATCTGGCTCATTAACACCTCCTACCTTATTACTCTTCTTGCCACGAACTGATTACAGCCCTTATTAATTTCCACGGCTAGCCAACACAATAAGACCCCCAGTTATAATGTCCACCTCGCTCTCCACAGTGTTACACAAATTCTAATTTATTCTAAGATCTCATAGTTAAGCTGTTAGCAAAACAAATCAAACAGAAATATACACAAACTGAAGTTCTCAGTGTCATGAAAGCCTTTCATGGCACGAGTTTGCATTTCATATCCCACTGAGTGATGAAACATTATATAGGCTATGTCACTGAATTAAAATTTCCATGCAATAAAGCTATTCATGAGCAATGTAAGCAAGCTGTTAAAACAACCATCAAAAGGTTTCCAATTTTCTCAATTTAATTCATTTCTGTACCAATACATACATCTGTGTTGTGATCATGTACAAAAACTTTACCAATGAACTTATTCCACCCTCAAACAAAGCCTATTGTTCTAAGGTTGGTAACTTTGCAGTCAACTTATGTAATACTTTTAAAAAACACTGCCTGCCACCACTGCCAAGTCGATAAGCTTCTTACAAATTTAGTTGAAAGCCAACCCATTTGAAAAGCAATTTGCAATTTGGGCAATAGAGCCCATTAAATTTTAATGACCACCTATTCATCAATAGTGGTCATCTGAATACAATTAGTAGTTTATTTATTTCAAAAGCTTGGGACCAATAATGGGACCCTGCCAGGCTTTTCAATCAATTTAATTTCCTTTTCTTCTTGCTAACCGAGTAATTAGGCTTGAAAATTAAGGCTTGCATCGTGCAAATAAATCTCACCCTAATGACACAGAGTTTAAGTAATTAGATAGAAAATTCACATAGCCTACTTCCCCACAGACAATAGTAAAATTTTTATCAATTCCTGCCCAGGTGAATTGGTGCAATATCTATTGAAATAATTGGATGCCTGTGTGTTTACTTGAAAAATACCTCTTCAATAAGTCATGTTTATTTTTATTCTCTATCATAAATGCCCAAGGCCTTGTGTAAATGCCCTGGACAAGTGTGTTAATCCACACTTATTTGCATTATTGCACATAAGCAAACATTTTAAAATTGCATTCTCCAAATTAAAATGCCGCCTTTCCTTTAGTCATAAAGCAGAAATAAAAATCCATAAAATACAAAATGGTTTCAGCTAGTTCAGCTGGATTTTACTGCGAGAAATATTGAAAATGCATGACATTAGCATAAAATCGATACGCACGTATCTTTGCCACTGAAACTACATTGATAAGCAATCAGCTCATTGAAGATGCTAAATAAAAATTTAAAGTTCAGCCCCCTTCACGTCGAGCTTCGGACAATAACACTACAAAGAAACACTGCTAACTGTGAAGAAATGAGGTTTCTTTTTCTACCAACCACAGTTATATGTTCATATACAATTGACCCACATATTTCTTGATTAATGTACGACGAAAAATGAACTTTACGAAAGAAAATTGCAAAATTATCGCTCACCACCGATCTGCCTGACTCTCCTCAGCCATCTTGCTATATACCCAAAATGCAATAGCAAAATGGCTGCGCCCAGTAGGCGAAAAGTTACCGAATGTTTATTGTAATTAGCAGATGTTTAGAGGTTTGTACCTATTTTCATTCCACGTTTTAATAAGATGTATACGTCAGTTACTAAAAGGGATTGTAAGCGAGCGTTATTTATCTATTATATAGCACCTCTAATATCATAAGGGCCGGGTACAACATCTTGCCATTTGTGGCAAGCGCAGTACCGAATCCACAAAACTTGTTGAGATAAAAATATCATTACACGGTAAAATCACCACTGTCATGCACAGAAATACATAAATATAATTTAACAATTAACAGTGATGAACAGTAACCGTGATTAATTCGTGACTTTTTGGAAATTCCATGTAGAATGTGCGAACGCAAAGTTCGCAAGAAATTAATGTAATATTACACCTTCGCTTAAGCAGACTTTAAAGTTGTTTTTTTTTGCGGTAACCCCCCCCCCCCCCCAAACATAAGTATTTTATTTGCATTGTTTTTCAAAATTCAGTTATGTGGTAACTTTGACCAATCTCTTTTCATTTTTTTAATTAGATATTTTTGCTCTCACTCTCTCTCTCTCTCTCTCTCTCTCTCTCCGATTTGTAATATGCAAAGCACAGGGTTTTATTATTAATGACCAAGAAATCGGAGTCCATTTGAATGTAGACTTTTTAGAATAATCTTGCAATTAATTTTTACTCATGATAGAAGCTAGGCGGAAGATGAGTATCCTGATACCATAATATAACTTCACATATACCTAAATGATATACTACATGTAGCTAGTTCAGTACTTGTGACACATCTGCCTGTTTGATGTTGATAACCAACTTGAAATCTTACTAGTTTTTGTTTGTTCTAAATTAGAAAATAAGGTTGCCTTGGCATTTGCATCACAATCATTCAATAGGAAATAAAGCAGTAAGATTAAGAAAGTGATATATCCTAGTAAATCTGGCAGAACATAAATACTAACAGAGGCAATTAAGCCTATACGTTTTAAAGGTATTTATGCAGTCAGTATAGTACATGTATGGGAAAAATGGTTAGCATGGTTACATTTCATATATGTTCATTTCCATTATAGAAAGCAGTTACATATATACTTAATTGGAAAACAATGTTTTTCACATCCATTTTATCAGCACCTGTCCAGGACTTTTGTTCTTTTGAATCTGGCATTTAAAAGAAATTTTACCCTTTATCTAACTTTTTACAGTATAATTATTTGCTTTTCTTAACGAAATTGTTGAAATCTAGTTAGTGGTTCAAATTTTAAAAGATATTTGGTGGGCACTTTTAGGTAAATGAGGCAGTAGGAAAAACCATAAACTGTAATGATTTAGTAGAACAATTTTTATGCATGTCTCTTCAGACTGAATGTCATCAATTGAGGCCTACAGTGTACCACCTAGATAGCTACCTAAGTTGTAAAAATACTACCAGCATAAAAATGTTAATAACAAAACATTACATAAAAAAGCAATTTTCCAAAGTATTAACTTACTAGCATGATGTTATAAAGATCTATCCCATAAATGCATTCCTACAATCTGTAAGCCATAGAGTTGGTCCTTCTTGCAAATTGTACGCTGAACCACCTTTTCTGGTGAGCTTCAGTTATACTAACCAGGCACACGCCATTCATTGACTGTACTCAAAGTAATGCCTATATATGTACACTTTTAACTTTACACCTAGCTGGATGTTATGTTTGCAAATGTAGACCACATGAAACTACATGCCAGACTTGAAGAGTTTTGACCTTAATCTGAGGTTAAACTGCAAAGCTGGTCTAATCTGATTTATGGTCAAGCATGCAAGGAAGACACCTGTTCTCAGAACTGAAATGGCCCATGATATATATATATATATATATATATATATATATATATATATATATATATATATATATATATATATAGTATGATATTTGATAGTCAGTAAATAATATAATTATTACTTATCATAGTAATTTTGCTAGATTTTTATTTTACACTTCCTCTTTGTTCCCTTATTTTAAAAACAATATAAAGTGGCTTGAATAAAAAATAAGGTAATTAAAATTTAAAATTTTAATGAATATAATTTAACAGGTGAATGAAACCTAAAATCAACTTTGTTGCAGTTTATAAAAGATAATCAATTTAAAATCTATACAGATTCCTAAACCAATAAGTAAATTTGTCTGAAAAAATAAAAGTGACA